GGTGGTTATTTGTGATCCAAGTTCTCATTGCTGCTATTCTCGCTGTTGTCTTCTTCGTGCACCTGCGAAGTGTCTTACTACCCTAGATGTCAAGTACTGGCGACTTTCTCAGTATCCGGCTGCCGTTTACCACTGCCAGCGTTCTTTGGGTACAAGACTCCAATCCCCGGAACCTGTTTCGGCTTTCCCAATAGGAGCAGTGGGCTTCCTGGGAGCTCCTGTCTATGCTTAGGTGGCGTTTTCTGAAACCTTCAAGCCCACAGACTGGTACATGCTCGATGCCTTTCGAAAATGTGAACTCTGGATGAGCACGACGGAAATGTAACTTTGATCAAGCAAGCCACCTAGAACCTGGAACGAATGAATCGTCGCACCACTTCCCACCAACAGGCACAACAAATTCTGACCCGAACATGGCAGCATCCGAGAGACTCTTCTGAAAGCCGGCTGAGAAGATCAACCACCTCCTGGACATCAGCCTCTGCCTGGCTCGGAATATAGAGGCCTCAATAATTAGAACAGGGTTTGGGGTATATTATACTAGAACTATAATGAGGAGCCCCCAGAATAGTAAGGTAACAAAGCCCCTATATTAGGCTAGCATCTTGTGAGTTTTGCAAGAGGAATGCAAAAATGTTACATCTAAATTCCATCAACAGCACCGCGATACATAGCATCCGGAAGTAGCAGAAACGGCAAACACCAGCATCATCATCACAGTTGTCAATGCTACTAGCCGTTACTACTGGCCAGCGGAAATAGACCACTGCTCCTGCTCCTGCTCGTCGCCCTCACCCTCCTCCTCCTCCTCCTCCTTCTATTGCACCGTTTTGCCACTGGACTCAAGTCCTGCCAGAATACGACCTGCAATCATCTTGACCGAGGCCGATATGCAGCACCGATACCGAAGCCGCTCTGTTGAGGAGCAGTTTTACAGGCACGGCAGTGCCTGTGTCAGCCGCTCGTCGATGCTGTCTTTGATCTGAGGCGATGCACGGCGGTCGATGCAGCTACTGTCACTGATATCCGAATCATCCTGTAGGACCGTTCGGCTGAGGATTCAGAGTGGCTGTTGGCACAGTTCCACTTCCCAGCCTTCTCGAATGTCTGCCGGAGATTTGTGCCTGTCCTTGGAGGCAGGCGGCTCCGCGCAACAAGGGCTCGTGACTCGTGTAGCCAGTGTAAGACATTGTACGGTTCATCCGATGTGGAGTCCACAGGTTGGACGCATTTCCCCTGATCTTCTAAAGCCTGAACATCAAAGACGAAAATGAAAAACACAACCCAATGGGGGACCCTAAACCCTAAACCCCCGACCGTCCCAGTCACTCTTCATCGAAGGCATTCTTGAAGGTTAGGTCGGCAGGATCGCAGTCTGCGGGGTCATCCGAACTATCGTTTGGGATCGAAAGGTTTCGGGTTCTTGCCTGGAGGAAACTGCTGTTGCTCAGTTGCAGAGTGGAGCGGTCTTTAATTTTTTAGGATAGGGCCTTGAATAATTAGGGTTATGGGGGGATGATTCTGCCGTTCTGCGAGGCTACAAGCGCAGACCGCTTGTTCCAAGCCGTACATTACGGCCATGGGATCGGTCTCTGCACGCAGAAGTAATCAACAGCCCGATCCCCCATGCTTGGTGGATAATACCTTGCGCCCTTCACTGCAACAAACTGCAACCTTCAGGGTTTAGGGTGGGCGTGGACAGTCCTACCTCGGAAACTCCAGGCAAGGCTGCTCGGCTTCGCACGCGGACAGTGCAGTGGCGTTGAACCGCCGTATAGGGATTTAGTGTTTAGAGCCTTCTGAAACTGACGGGGGTTCACCCGAAGAATGTGAAACGCAGGCAACGACTAATGCCGATCATGCCAGAATGACGATATTCCTCCGTGAAAGGGGGTCACAACTGAAACTCGAAGGCCCGCCTTCCAGCCTGTGAAGCTTTACCCCAAGCCGCTCGATACTCTTCTCGAGCAGAAGCATGTCCTCCAAATCGAAACAGGTTTCCCTACAGGGAGACTACAAGGGGAACTCTACGGCTACGTCGACCGCTCCACCACGAAAAAAAGTCACGAAAAGGCAAGAACACCTCAGATAAAAGTCGCAGCGTCTCGTTTTTTTTGTTTTTTTCTGATTGTTGTTTGTTGATTTTGTGCTCGACTTTGTTTGTCTGTTGTGTTTCTGTTGGCGTTTTTGATTCCACGAATTCCCAGGAATCGCAGGTCGGGCAAACACAGGTCAAGAACAAAGTCAAACACCAAGTTGAAAAGTCGGCAAACAAGTCAAGAAGCCAGATGCTCGAACGTGTCCTTGACTTTTTCTGAGTGTTTTCTGACTTTGCTGTTGTGCAACCAACAGCGCCGGAGACTTCTTTCTAACTTTTTGTTGGTCTGGCACACCAACAGCAGCAAGCTTAGCTGGCCGACCTAACTCTAAGGGACTCTAAGGGAACTCTGAGGGTTCGTCTGCACGAAGATGACCCGAACCTGAATGCCATTTCCCACAGCTTTGGCACAGAATGCCCAGTGTGATCATTGTCAAATTATGATTAGGGAATTTTGTGGGCTGCGCGGATTGAAAACCAGCTTATCAGTTTCTTACCATTTATTCATGGTTTGGGCTTGGGCATCATTTGGGCTCATCGTTTGCTATCATGTCTTCATCATTTGTTTATCATCATTGTCAATACTTAGCACTCGTCTCGTCATCGTTGCCCCTGGCCTACGGAGCCTGGCACACCTTTCATGGAGGAAGGGAGGGGGGGGGGGGGCGGCTGCTTTTTTCTGTCGTTTGCGTATTTGGTTCTGGGCCTGGGAAGGAGCGGAAAATCGCTTTTTCATCGTTTGCGATTGGGGGGGGGGGGGGTGTATGATTTTTTGCACAATTTGTCAAAATTTTGGGGAAAGGTCCAGGGGGCTTGGGAAACCCTGCGTTCATGGAGGGGGGTGCGGAACCTGGAAATGGACTGCCATTTCATTTTTGCCTCGTGCATGGCTTGGTAACGAAGCAGGGCAATAAGTACAACTCCAGTGATTTACATCCAGATTGGACTTGATCTCATGGTGTCGTCGTCTTGACGGACATAGCTTCGACTTCATCATTTTCATCATTGCTCATCGTTGTTTTCATCGTTACTTCATCATGCTTAATGGTTTTATGCTTCGTTTTTTCATATTTTAGTCGTGTTCTCACAACGTTCTTATCGCTCTTGCATCTTCTGTCATCGTCTGTTCATAGCAATGTTAATCTTTTTCTGTGGTTCTGGGCATGCCGCGGTTGGGAGGCCTCGGTTTTTTTAATCGTTCTGGGCAGACCCGGGACCTGGCGCTGCGCGCAGTGGATGGGCTGGAGCCTGGGCCTGTGCTGAACGATGAGATCGACCCAAACCAGAAATAATGTAGAGGCCTCTATGATTAGAATAGGGCTGTGGGACCCATTATGCTATAGCTATAATGAGGAACCCCAAAATGGTATTATTGGTAATTTAGGCCGCTATATTGAGTGATGACTTCCCGGAACACACTACAGTAAAAGCATGAACAAATGATGAATGTATGATGACCACCGACCCTACCCATAGATAACTAAATGGTGAATAAACATATATTCATGCGCCCAGTGTGTACAGGAAAAAACTCTCCTAAAATTATGAGACACCGAGGACCCAAATATCCGAAAAGCTCCACAAACCCGAAAACCCGAACCACCCCATAAGCCCTAAAGACCCTACCGGCCTAAACCACCTCCAGAGTCTGCGAGGGTCGGAGCACCAAGTTGCAAAGTAACTCAGTCCTTGTTCCTCGCCTCTCCTTTGAGTTGGCCTCAGCCCAGGCATCTGCAAGAGTTTCGGGTAAACCGTATAATTCTCTGTACATAATGTTAATTAGCGCTTAATGATCAATGCTTGAGGGCTTTGTCTGCCGGTGATCCAGAAAGCTTGATATAGGAGTTTCCGAAAATCAGGGACCCCATTATAGTACCCCAAATAGTAGGATCCGTACTATAAGGAACCCCACACTAAGTAAGGTACCCCTAAATTTCGGAAACTCCTACATCTATATAATATAGAATCGGCTTGTTTGGCAATCCCCGCCTGGCTAGGACTATGCTTGAGGTGAAGGGTACCACTAACACACAACCTTATTTCTGGCGGTCCTGATAAAGAGGATCCTACTATTCGGGTCCCTTTTTTCCAGAAACAAAGAAACAGCTCAACTGTCAAAGTAGCCATGAGCCTCCAGGCGACGGCGTCGACAGAGACCTAAAGTCCCTTGCGAACACCTCTGACTCCAGTGACGACGGCCACAAAAGCGCAAACAAGCCACATCAAGTGAATGGTGTCTTTGTTCTGGTGCTGTTGCTTACAACGAAAAACGGCGACGACCACTACTGCGTCTGCTAGTGCTGCTGCTGCTGTTGCTACGGCAGATAATCCTGCTACATACTACGAATGTACGCACATACGACGACTAAGCATAGACTACTACCAATCCTAGAAATACTGCCAATCCACTAGTACGGCCACTGCGACGACGACTACTACTGACACTGGTACTACTACCACTACTGCTGCTGCCACTACCACTCCGGGTGCTACCACCACCACTACTACTTCTGCTTCTTCTTCTGCTTGTACCACCACCACCACCAGAACCACTACTACTACTACCCCTTCTTCTGTTGCGAGTACTGACTATAATCGTCGCACGATCGTGATCTTAAGCAGCTCACTGAACTCACTAAATCCGAGCCCGATGAGTGGAAGGCGGCATGGTCGTCAAGGCCGCCAAAGTGTTACAGGATATTACAAAGGTTATTGAAGAGTGCGAGCAACAGTCAACTTGCTAAGCAGTCAACAATGCTTGGTGGTGCGCTCCTGCTTGCTTAGCTGTCGTGCCTGTCCCAAGCAAGCGGACAAGTATGAGACCTGGAAAAAAGAACGACTGCGTGCTCCATGCGTGACGGCATCAGGATCCGCATTCCTGGTAATGGTGCGGTTAAGCTGCTCATTCCCTGCATGAACTCCTCCAGCGAGAGCCTGCAACGTGCGGCAAAATGCAAGGCCGGTTCAGCATAGGTATGACCAAAACACCATTCCTGCAGCAGAGACACTCCCCCTCGCCGTCGGTATCCAGGAGACGAAACAAGTCCAGCATCTCCGCCTCCTCTGCGATCGACAACAATTGCTATTCTTCTATGATTCCAACGGCAAGGCGTACATGTCTGCTGCGCAGCTTCCGCTCTACCGGAAATCCTACCGCAACGGCATCGAGTGTATGTTGATAGTGCCGTCTACTTTTGGAAACCAGTGCTGTTCCAAGGCCTGGAGGGATATGGCATGATATTGCCATTTACCCTGCTGTAGACAGCACTGGCGATTCAGGCGCAACCCGGAAATTCCTGAGGCACTTGTGAGCCTTCGCCCCAGCACCTGTTCAAGCCCGAGCCGTTTGAGACTGTCTGAGCCCATGTTGTTCATTAACCCCTGAAGCCCTGTGAAAATTCCTGAAGCACTTGTGAGCCTTCGCCCCAGCACCTGTTCAAGCCCGAGCCGTTTGAGACTGTCTGAGCCCATGTTGTTCATTAACCCCTGAAGCCCTGTGAATCAACTGTGCAAAGCTTGCAGACAGTTCCAGCGTCCTTCAGCCCAAGCAAAGTCATCTTCGTCTTAACCTCCTTGATCTTGAAGGCCTGGCTCATGCAAGCATGTTGACTTGATGTAGCAATGTAGCACGGCATGTAAACTCACATGAGCAGACAGACAGACAGACGGACAGACAGACAGCAATAACAAAAAACATAAAGAAGTACACTCACGAGAAGACTGCAAACAGATATACAGGAGTGAGCATTTGCATCTGCATGTGTGTATGCATATCCATATATACATATACACGTGCACAAGCATAAATGCATCTGTAACTGCATGCATGTAGGCACGCGTAATTGTCTGCGCGTGTGTGCGGGGTAAGGGCTATACGGTAGAGCAACACAAGACAGAGTTCAGGAGTTTGAGTCTCGACGGAATCAAGCTTCAGGCTTCAGTAGTTCTGGAACTTGCTCTTCACGTTTTTGTCAAGGCTTGGGCCTTGAAAAAGATTGCCCTTAAAAAGATGCTCGAGGCTCAGGAATTCCCGCGCGTTCCCTACTGGAGGGCTGCGCCCCCAAACGGCGGGAGCTGTGCGCCTGCATGAACTCCTCCAAGCTCACCTGAAAGCGATTTCGTGGTTAATACAGGGGCCTTAATAATTGGAATAAGGTTTTGCGGCCCACTCTACTATAGTTGTAGTAGCGAAGGGACCCTCAAAATAGTATAGGTAAGTGATAAGGCCCCTACATTACCCTGCTCGTCTCGGCTCCAGAGCCGGGAGAATTCGGAAGGCCTGTCCGCTCTGATCTTCGTCCAGCATCTTGAACATCCCCTCGAGCTCTCGCCTCAAAGCACGTGCGGCTCCGTAGATTCAGAAACACCTAATTAAAACTTACCGGCTCGAAAAGGTATTATATAGCATTCTCAAATACTGCATTATGTTGACAGTATATTGTCTTATATGATGTTACAGTATGTTATGTCAAATGAAATATGACAAAATACTAGGATGTCATGTCAAGTGCTGCATCCTAAGCTACCTTCAATGTTCCATTATATGTGATATCATATGCTATAGTATATGGTTCGGTATACATTACATCGTATATGCCACATTATACTATATGCTTTTATGCTTGTCCTGTTTTATGTCAAATATGTTTGGTATACATGTTATCAGACGATAGTTTATGTTATGATGCGGTATCGTGTTGCCGTGTAACATTAATATGACAGTATACCATAATCTTATCTTATTATATTTAATTTTAAATGTTATGCTAGCTTATATGCAAGTATAGTAGGCTGAACCATGCTGAATAATACTATACTGCTACTCTACTCTAGTCTATAGTATGTGTTGTATAGTCTTCTTCAGCCCGGGGAGCATGTCCTCCTCTCGCTGCGCTTGCAGCTGCTTCGCAAGATCGGCTTCATCGGCAGAACTCATCTCCAGAGCCTTCGGAAACGACAAGAGCGCTACGGCTCTCTAGTAGGGTCCCCTTTAAAGGGCACTATACGGTTCTGTAGCGCTCTCGCACAAGGCAGGCAAGGCTTTAGGCAATAACTGTTTCTGGTTGTAAGACCTTTCTGCATCCGGACTTGCGCAGTCGCCAGCTTCGGCCCTTTTGCAGCAGGCTTCTCTCGGCCGCTTTAGGGCCTAATCCCTGAACCCTGCAGATAGGGATCCTAAGAGTGCACCACCGCTGCACCCCTGGACCTGCTGCACAATGACGGCCGTCACCAAGTTCAGCAGGACGTAAGACGACCTCACCATAAGCTTGACAGGGTTCGCTTACGGGAGTTTCTTTAGCAGGTTGCTTTAGGGGCAGTATAAGGGTTACTATGAAGGGCTACCATAGTGCCTAAGGCTTAAGAGTATCGAAGAGTTGCAACCACAGGGTTCGCGCGGGGACACCGTCCTTCGAAGAGATCTATATGATATATGCCACTAGTGCAGCCAGGGACTCTTGCTCTGTATCTTCAACGAAACTCGGTTTCAGTCTTGACTCGTGACTGGTCTGGTTTTGCTCGAAACCGTACCGTAATCGTAAAGAGTGATAGACCCTCTCTACTTTTCCCAGCAAGAGCTGCATGCGGACCAGCGGCAAAGATGTGAAGAGCCAAAGGAAAACCCATATCCAAGGCTGGCGCCTCAAGGGATGTGGCAAGGCTCTTGCTTCCGGGGCACCCAAGAAAATCAAGAAGGAATATGTGTGTGTGTGTATGTACGTATATGTGAAGATGTACATACCAGCCAATACACACACATACATACGTACGCATGTATATGTATGTATGGCTGGGGCTTTCCGGAAAAAGGTGTAGGTTCGTTAGGTTCGTTCCAAGTGCAAGTCCGCACCCTGCATATGTGCGGTCACGCACACCAGAGCTCCGACAAGCAAGCGGCTCAGGTCCTTTCCTGAGGCGACGGCGTCGTCAATACATCCAAGATACCTTGACAGTCGTCTCCATGCATGAACCTTACAAGACTTAGGGGAGCACACCGGAGCTTGTTACAAGGCTCCGGGCGAGATTCAGCAACTCGCATGTTCAACCGAGTGCGCAGCCGCATGAGAGTGACCATCGTTTGGAACAAGCCCTTGAAGAGATTTTGAGCTTCTTTCACATCGTCACTAGCACCTGCACAGGACGCCTCTACTGTGGAAGAATTGTCAGCAAGGGCAACTTCGGTACGCTTGCACCTGTTCGGTCCTGGTTTCCGATGAGGTCAATCGCAAATATTGCAAAGGTGTAGAGAGTGGCTGCCTCAGCACTTGCCAAGATCGACATACGTGCACAGTCATGGCTCTCCAACAGAAGGCCGCTGAGCTCCCCGCGATCAGACCCATGGCCGAGAGCAACGTGCTGCCACTGCCTTATCCCGGAGGAAGGGCAGCAAAGTATGTTGCGGGTGTTCCCCCACCACGTAGAAAGAGATTTTTGCAAGTAGGCACGCGTGCGCGTGCGTGTACAGACATGTTGCATGCCGCATAAACTGCTTCTTTGGGAATGCTCTGGCTTGTACAGATTCCTTTCAGTTTTTGTTCCAGCCGCATATGTTTCGTCAAATCTGTCTGGGTTTCAGGACGGAAATCTTCCACTTTGCGAGGGAACTATCGGGAATCGTGATGTTGTATAGGAAGGGTGACACAGCTAGGAGGAGGAGGAGGAGGAGGAGGAGGAGGATCATGATCATGATGATGGTGATGATGATGGTGGCAGCAACGACGGAACCCTGGAAGAGGAAGTTGGAGGGTTGCTGTTGCTATGACGGAGACTGCCACGGCATCGGCGATGACGGCCTCCACGGCCTCGTCTTCGGCTATCATTTTTTCAATGGTGATGGCGGCGATGAGAATGGGGGCCGATGACGAGGAGGGCGGTAAAAATGGCGACCATGACGAAAGTCATGATGGAGATTTTTGCATGGTGATTTTTTCGACACTCACACTCGGAGTAAGCCTGGCAAGGTCTGCAGCGACACTGGTCTGAAGTCATGAATTAGCCTGCACACCCGGTATCGCCGGACATGCAGCACATCCGATCGATGTCACCAGACGTGCGGCGCTGTCGGACACAACAACAGCTCCCGACAGGTTCCCGACAGGTTCCCGACAGGTCCCGACAGGTTCCCGACAGCTCCCGACAGCTCCCGACAGGTTCCCGACAGCTCCCGACAGGTTCCCGACAGCTCCCGACAGGTTCCCGACAGCTCCCGACAGCTCCCCGACACCTCCCAAAAGCTTTTGACGGGGTTCCCGACAATTCCCGACAGGCCCAGATCGGTGCAGAATGGTACGACCCCGCCCAGCCTAGCCAGCCCAGCAACAGCCCAGCCGCCCAGCCCGGCCCAGCCCAGGCCCAGCCAGCCAGCACCGTTCAAAACTCACAGGTCAAGCCCCGCCTTGCGCACCAAAAACACTTGAATCCAGCCCTGCTTTGCACACCATCCAGCCGTGCTTTATGCACCAAAATGACTTCAAACTTACCTCAAACCCTATCTTGTCCTACTTTGTCCCCAGCTCAAACCCCGGAAACCTCTGGATCTGGCCCCGGAATGCGAAAAGTAGTCTTAAGCATTCCAGGGCCTGAACAATATATATATATATATATATATATATATATGGGGGCCGATACCTTTAGGGTCTATTTAGCTAGCTTTCTTTATATACAATATCAAACGCCTAGCTAAATGATATCTAGCCATATCGTGAATTCTACAAACCGATACCCGGAAAGTTTCACCCTGATTCGGACATATAACTTAATGCAGAGTTTGTCAATTGTAATGACATTGTTGTACAGCTGTTTAAATTTGATATAGGTCGTCATTGTGTTACTCCTACTACTACTACTACTACTTTCTTCTGCTACTCCTACTACTACTACTACTACTACTTTCTTCTGCTACTACTACTACTACTACTACTACTACTACTACTACTACTACTACTACTACTACTACTACTATACTACTACTACTACTACTACTACTACTACTACTACTACTACTACTACTACTACTACTACTACTACTACTACTACTACTAGGTATTCACCAAGAACCCCAGGAGACACGTGTTAGAATCCAGAAAACCAATAATCCTACACCTTATGTATTGACTGTGTTCCTGTTGGTAAGATTCCTTTTAAACACAATCTATAATCGGTAAAACTTCGATAATCCTAGTAGGCCGATGTCACTGCTAATTATACCGCCTGTGGCTTCTGTATTACTATTCCGAGCAAAGTAAGAGAACAACCCTTACAAACACTCATAATCATGTTAAGTATTGCCTGTAGCCCTGTGTTTAATCATAATAAACCCGGCTTGCAACTATAAAAGCAACAATAATCATGCTAAGTATTGCCTATAACCCTGTTGCTACTATTGCCATGAAACCTTGCCTAGAACCCCTGAAAGTAAAATAATAAGACTAGGTATCACCTATAACCTGGGCACACATAGGGGAGGCAGAGGGCTAAGCGCAGGCCCTGCCCAGGGGCGCGGGGGTGGGGGTGGGGTTGAGGCGGGTGTGGGGTGGGTTGAGGGTGCTGGGGCTGAGGCTCTCAAGGCTGAAGGGGATTTCAGCTGCAATTTGGGTTTAGGGAAGATACTGGAAATGAACCTTTAGAACTCAAGGTCATATGTTTGTTACAAGCCTTTGCAGGTTGTGAAATGACATGTCCGCAATGCCTAACATGGTTGTTTCGAGTTGTGAGCACACAAGGTATGTAGACACTACTTAACATGATTATTTCTGTTTCTACGTGCGAAAAGCATGCAGGTAAGAACGCATGTAGGCGCGAACAGCATGCAGGCAATACTTAACATCATTATTTCGGGCTGTGAGTAGCAAAGGCAATAGGCAATACTTCACATGTGTATTTCGGGTTCTAAGTGCGAAAGGTATGTAAGCAGTATTTAACATGTTTAGTTTGGGTTGTACATAATTAAGAGAGCAATATAGGCAATACTTAACATGATCATTCCGGGTTGCAGGTAGGGTTTCTGCTCCAGGGCTCAGGGTTGAGACAACGCTTGGCAACTCTCAAATAAGTATATGATTCACACCCAGCTTCCCGAGACATTACGACCACTTCATTTTTACAGGCGTATCCCGCGATGATATCGCAAAACTTTCGCTTGCGTGCTAGATTGTGAAACTTGTCTTCCGTCTCTGCAATGCCCGCTGTCAAGACTTTGTCAATGAAGTTCGCAACTCTGCTCGCCCGCATTTTCTGCCAAACGTGTTGGCGAGTTTCGCAAACCAAGTGGCCGGTTTCGTGTAAAGAAATTGCGGAACCCCAAATTTCCCGGAACTGCCTGCGTTGATTTAACAAGACTCGTAATTGTGCAATTTCTGCGATGCCCATGATGCCTCTGCCGAATTTCACTCCAGTGCCTAAAGATGTTGTTGGCAACTCCACCCATTTGCTTCCGCAGCGATGGCACAGATCAGTGAGAATTTGTAGTCGCACAAATGGCCCAACCGAACACCGCTCTTTCAACATAGCTTCTGTGAGTTGTCGCTTGTACGGAACCAGTGTAGGTAGCGGGACCCAATCACGGTACTCTTGGCACCAACGCCGATGCTTTGCCACGCATGCGCTGCTGTTGCTGTAGCCATAAACCCGATAAGGTAATAATTCCATCGATACCGGCTGTTCTGGCAAAACGCCCCGCTTCCCAAATCTCGACGAAATGACGCAAATAGCCCTGCAGCGAAACGATTCACGGACAAAATTGTCGACGCCACGCATGTCCGGTTTCTTCTTGATTGTAACAGAAGACAGCAGCCTTTTGTACATAGCATCGTCCTTTTTTGACGCATTGCCCCATGGCTGGAGACGGCGCTTTGCTTGCTGTAACCTCGATGCAACTTGCCGCAATACCACCATGTCTCGCCAACTGCAGCTCTTCAACAAAATGGCCAACAATTGAGCTCTGCGGTGTTTGGCAGCACGAGACGCCTGTACCAATTTGCGGATCTTAGTGTAAGAGTGCACGACTTCTGTGAGAGCTTTTAGATGGTCGCGAGAGTTGTGCAAAACACGCCAACGTTTCACCGCTCGCTGACGTCGCTTCTTGTCTTTGGACGGCATGGCTCTGCAAACAATGTCAGGATACGGCAGGTTCAATGTCTTTGTGGCATAATACTGCTTTCATTCTAATTGTGAGTGGTGCAACGACGTAGTATATCCTATTCTATGAAAAACTACACGGCGCGATAATATCTTACATTATACTGCATTGTGCTCTGTCATTACGGTATGTAAATGTTTGACGTGATACTGTCGTGTAACGTGCCCTCTTCACTCATGCTTGGGTCTATGGGCTCCGGGGCTTAGGGCTTTAGAGTTTAACGCTGAAGGTGCAAGCTAGCAAGAATTGAGCCCGAATTTGAAATCGGTGAGGTTTGTGGCCTAATCCCAGAACCCAACGATTTCATTGATTGAAATAAGGCTGTAATGTGTCAGGTCGCTGTGTCCAGGAGCCTTCCAAAGTAGGATTTTCCTTGTGAATATACTTTCAATAGAAGGGATGAAGTGACACATTAGAGGGCTTGTAATGTGTTAATTCGTTATGCCCAAGTCAATAGAGTTTGAACAGGGGAAGTGGAGTAACACTTTACAGGGCATGTAATGTGCCAATCTGTTATGTCCTGGACTTTCCAGTGTATAAGTTCCTTGTCGGTAGAGGGTCAATCGGAGTGGGTGGAGTGACACATTAGGGTGCCTGTAATATGTCAATTTGATATGCCCAGGTACAGGGGCCTGACAGTGTCTAAGTTCCTTGTTAGTAGGGTTTCAGTAGGAGAAATGAAGTGACACATTAGAGGGCATGTAATATGTCAATTTGCCCAGTCCAGGACCCAGGAAGTGAAGATACACATTATAGTGGGTTTAATGTGCCAGTTTGTTATGTCCATAAAAAGTGCTTTCCGATGTATCAATTTCTTATCAGCATGGTTTCAATAGGATAGGTGGAGCGACACATTATAGGGCCTGCAGTGTGTCAGTTTATTATGTCCAGGGGTTTTCTAGTGGAAAAGTTCCATTGCAATAGAGGTTCCATAGGAAGGAGTGGAGTGACACATTAGAGGGCCTGTAATGCGTCAATTTATACTACCCAGAGACCTTCCAATATACAGATGCCCTACAGTGTATAAGTTCCTTGCCTTTAGGGTTTCAATAGGAATAATGACACATTAGAAGGCCTGTAATGTGTCAGTTTGTTTTCCCATGTGCCTTCCAATGTATCTCTATACATATCAGATCTGATGTGATCACAGCATTAGCCAAGAAGGATATCACGTAGTTAATAGTCTTCACGATCTTAACAAAGGCGCAATTATCCGTATCGAAGGTATACATTCCCATGAAAAAATCCCTATAGATCCCTTCACAGATCCCTTGTATGGAGCCCTCATACACAGCTTTTATAGATTCGTATAGAAACTTTATAGATCCCTTATATAGAGAACTTATAGAAACCCCGTATAGATCAACAAATGGAGTTCTTTGTAGAAAACTTTACAAGATCCCTTACATGGAGCTTTCATAGACAACTGCTATATATTCCTTACCCTTTGTATAAACCACATGGAAGCTCTGTATAGATCCCTCGTATGGAGCCCTTCTGGAAAACCCTTACAGATTGCTTATAGAAATCTTATAGATCCTCTATGTAGAGATCCCTTACAGAGAGACTTTCTAGAAACCCATTATGGATCCCTCATATGGGGCCTTTATAGTAAGCCCGGTTACAAAGTATGTAGATGCGATGTGGTAAGCTATTCTTGATATAGTAGTTAAGATAAATCGATTGTATTATGGTTCGTACAATACCTATGAAATTACCTTTAAGAATAGAGGGAGCGGTATTAAAACCAATGAAACCGGCAACGAAGATGATGACGATGAAGAAGATGATGAAGATGATGGAGATGATGAAGATGATGGAGATGATGAAGATGATGAAGATGATGCAGATGATGAAGATGATGAAGATGATGAAGATGATGGATGATGGAGGGTGGGGTGTCCGCAGCCCTGTTGGACCCTAATGGGTTCGTGGTGGGGGTGGGGGTAGTGGGTGGGGTGGGGGAGGGATGTGAATGGGCAGGGGGTTTGTGCTGGCGTGGTGAGGGGTGGGTTTGGGGGAGTGGGTGATAAAGGTGATAAACCGATGATAAATGATAATAGGATGGTGATAACGATGATGGGGAGGAGTAGGTGGTGGGTAGTGGGTAGTGGTGGCTGGCGGGTGCTGGGTAGTGGTGGGTGGTGGGTGGTGGGTGATGGGTGGTGTGGTGGGTGGTGTGTGGTGGGTGGTGTGTGGTGGTTGGTGGGGAGGGTGTGGGTGGTGGGCGTGGCGGGTGAGGGGTGCCGGGTGGTGGATAATAGGTGGTGGGTGGTGGGTGGTGATGGGGTACGAGGCAAGGGGCTGAGATAGGGGGGTGGGTAGTGAGGTATGAAGGGGGCAGGAGGGTGGAGTGGCGGCAGGGGTGTATAATCCCTGCGCGCCGCGACCGAGCAGAAAGCCTGTAAATGCCGCGTTCAAAAAACGGCCAGGGATCCCACACATCTGCGGGCAAAATCTGGCGGAAGTGATCCGCCGCCGAGCAAAAAGCCTGTAAATACCGCATTAAACAAAGGGCCAGGGATTTCACACATCGCTGGCAAAATCTGGCGGAAGTGATTTGTGGTCGAGCAAACCACCTGTAAATACCGCGTTAAAGCAAGGGCTAGGGATTTCACACATCGCTGGCAAAATCTGGCGGAAGTGACCTGTGGTCAAGCAAAACATCTGTAAATACCGCGTTAAAGCAAGGGCTAGGGATTTCACACATCGCTGGCAAAATCTGGCGGAAGTGATCTGTGGTCGAGCAAAACACCTGTAAATACCGCGTTAAAACAAGGGCTAGGGATTTCACACATCGCTGGCAAAATCTGGCGGAAGTGATTTGTGGTCGAGCAAAACACCTGTAAATACCGCGTTAAAACAAGGGCTCGGGATTTCACACATCGCTGGCAAAATCTGGCGGAAGTGATCTGTGGTCGAGCAAAACACCTGTAAATACCGCGTTAAAGCAAGGGCTCGGGATTTCACACATCGCTGGCAAAATCTGGCGGAAGTGATCTGTGGTCGAGCAAAACACCTGTAAATACCGCGTTAAAGCAAGGGCTAAGGATTTCACACATCGCTGGCAAAATCTGGCGGAAGTGATCTGTGATCGAGCAAAACACCTGTAAATACCGCGTTAAAGCAAGGGCTAGGATTTCACACATCGCTGGCAAAATCTGGCGGAAGTGATCTGTGGTCGAGCAAAACACCTGTAAATACCGCGTTAAAGCAAGGGCTAGGGATTTCACACATCGCTGGCAAAATCCGGCGGAAGTGATCTGTGGTCGAGCAAAACACCTGTAAATACCGCGTTAAAGCAAGGGCTAGGGATTTCACACATCGCTGGCAAAATCTGGCGGAAGTGATTTGTGGTCGAGCAAAACACCTGTAAATACCGCGTTAAAACAAGGGCTAGGGATTTCACACATCGCTGGCAAAATCTGGCGGAAGTGATCTGTGGTCGAGCAAAACACCTGTAAATACCGCGTTAAAGCAAGGGCTAGGGATTTCACACATCGCTGGCAAAATCTGGCGGAAGTGATCTGTGGTCGAGCAAAACACCTGTAAATACCGCGTTAAAGCAAGGGCTAGGGATTTCACACATCGCTGGCAAAATCTGGCGGAAGTGATGTGTGGTCGAGCAAAACACCTGTAAATACCGCGTTAAAGCAAGGGCTAGGGATTTCACACATCGCTGGCAAAATCTGGCGGAAGTGATCTGTGGTCGAGCAAAACACCTGTAAATACCGCGTTAAAGCAAGGGCTCGGGATTTCACACATCGCTGGCAAAATCTGGCGGAAGTGATCTGTGGTCGAGCAAAACACCTGCAAATACCGAGTGAAAACACAGGCTAAGGATTTCACACATCTGCCGGTGGGTGGAAGGGTGGAGGGGTGGAGAGGAGGGTGGGGGTTGGGAAGGGACGGGTGGGGGCGGAGGGTGATTGGGGCTGGGTGGGGGTGGGGGGTGAGGGGTCGGGGGGGTGGGGTGGGGGGGGTGTGGGGGGGGGTGGGGGAGTGGGAGGTGGGGTGGGGGTGCACTCCCCGACCCTTCCACCCACCCTTTCCTGGCAGGTGAGGCGAAGGGGAAGGAGGTGGAGGGGTGGGCGCAGGGGAGTGGTGGAGGGGGTGAGGCACTGGCCCTATCGACAGAACCCCATCATTTCAATTAATTGAAATAATTGAAATAATTGAAATAATTGAAATCCGTGTGGCCCTTCCACGGAACCATAGGATTTCAATTAATTGAAATAATTGAAATAATTGAAATAATTGAAATGGGGCCGATTTCAATTATTTCAATTATTTCAATTGTTTGGGTCACCTAAATAATTGAAATAATTGAAATAATTGAAATAGGGCCGATTTCAATTATTTCAATTATTTCAATTATTTCAAATCGTGTGGTTCATCGGTTGACATAGGAAACCTACTGATTTCAATTATTTCAATTGTTTGGGTCACCTAAATAATTGAAATAATTGAAATAATTGAAATCCTTGTGGTCCGTGAGGCCCTTCCACAGAACCATAGGATTTCAATTAATTGAAATAATTGAAATAATTGAAATGGGCCCGATTTCAATTATTTCAATTGTTTGGGTCACCTAAATAATTGAAATAATTGAAATAATTGAAACAGGGCCGATTTCAATTATTTCAATTATTTCAATTAATTGAAATCGTGTGGTTCATCGGTTGACATAGGAAACCTACTGATTTCAATTATTTCAATTATTTTAATTATGGTGGCCCACAACTCAAATAATTGAAATAATTGAAATCCTTGTGGTCCGTGAGGCCCTTCCACAGAACCATAGGATTTCAATTAATTGAAATAATTGAAATAATTGAAATAATTGAAATAATTGAAATGGGGCCGATTTCAATTATTTCAATTATTTCAATTGTTTGGGTCACCTAAATAATTGAAATAATTGAAATAAATGAAATAGGGCCGATTTCAATTATTTCAATTATTTCAATTATTTCAATTAATTGAAATCGTGTGGTTCATCCGTTGACCTAGTAAACCTATTGATTTCAATTATTTCAATTATTTGGGTGACCCAAATAATCGAAATAATTGAAATAATTGAAATCCTAATGGTCCGTGTGGCCTTTCCACAGAACCATAGGATTTCAATTAATTGAAATAATTGAAATAATTGAAATGGGGCCGATTTCAATTATTTCAATTAATTCAATTGTTTGGGTCACCTAAATAATTGAAATGATTGAAATAGGGCCGATTTCAATTATTTCAATTATTTCAATTATTTCAATTATTTCAATTAATTGAAATCGTGTGGTTCATCCGTTGACCTAGTAAACCTATTGAGTTCAATTATTTCAATTATTTCAATTATTTGGGTGACACAAATAATCGAAATAATTGAAATAATTGAAATCCTAATGGTCCGTGTGGCCTTTCCACAGAAGCATAGGATTTCAATTAATTGAAATAATTGAAATAATTGAAATAATTGAAATAATTGAAATGGGGCCGATTTCAATTATTTCAATTATTTCAATTGTTTGGGTCACCTAAATAATTGAAATAATTGAAATAATTGAAATAGGGCCGATTTCAATTATTTCAATTAATTGAAATCGTGTGGTTCATCCGTTGACCTAGTAAACCTATTGATTTCAATTATTTCAATTATTTCAATTATTTGGGTGACCCGAATAATCGAAATAATTGAAATAATTGAAATCCTAATGGTCCGTGTGGCCTTTCCACAGAACCATAGGATTTCAATTAATTGAAATAATTGAAATAATTAAAATAATTGAAATGGGACCGATTTCAATTATTTCAATTATTTCGAGTGTTTGGGTCACACAAATAATTGAAATAATTGAAATCAGCACCGTATATTTGAATTATTTCAATTATTTCAATTATTTACAATATATATAAATAAATAAAGAAAACATAGTAGCTAAATAGACCCAAGAGGTAGCACTCTCATATATATATATATATATATATATATATATATATAGGCCCGAAATCGTCATATCTAATCTGTAGATACCGTAGAATAGAACATCCTCATATCCGGACCCCCCCCGGTCGACACCCACAGTTGCTCCACGCTGGTCGTCGTAAGGCTTGGTCCATTCACCCGTGCCCGGCTTGCTGCTGAGCCACTGAGGAGACCTCGTACGAGCTTGAAGAGGTCTTGGAAGGCCTTGAAGTGCTTGAAGAAGAGCCTGGAAAAGGCTATGGCATCTCCGAAGACCTTCGTCCCCACTCCCTTTCTTATCATTCAGCGTGGGAGTGCTCGTAGAGATAAGCTTTACCCTCGTCAGGTGCATCCTCAGACTCGAATCTAGTACACGAACCTGTATCAGACTCGAATCTCTACGAATCCAAAGACTGAGACGCGGCTCCAATTTGCCCAACGTGTGCTGCCGGGTCACACAATGCGCAATAAGCGTAGCATCCCTGAGTACGAACGCAGCAACCGACAGAGACTCCACAGTGCTGCCTGGTTTAGGTTCACGTGTCTGACCTTGTCTACTATCATGTTGTCCTGCCGTTGGTGGCGAATCGAACAGGAGTACCTTCGACACATCCGCACACTTGCGGCATCCCTGTACCTGCCATGGCTTCGGGGCATCGCCAACCGTTGCCGAGGAAACATCGAGAAGTCCGAACATGAAATCCCGATCCTGCAATCCCAACTAAAACGCACAACTCACCCAAGCAAAACTAGCCACAACGTCACAAGTCTTACAAAAGACCTCGCGGCTTCGTGGCGAGCTGCGGATGGTCCTGACCACCTTTAGGAAGTCAGTGGAACCATCCTGAATGCTCGGCTGCAGGATCCAGACCTCCGCTTCGGCGGGCTGAGGGATTACAAGGGCTAGTGTCAGGCCGTCACCATCACTACTTTCACAGAGGATAACAACACTAAGACTGAAGAGGCTTGGCGCTATTACAGTGGACTGGGGCCTTGCACAGGGCAAACCGCGATTGAAAGAAACTTGTACTAGTTATGCATGATTATATGGACTACACTGTCTACACAGATTGGAAGCTTGATCAAGCACTACGCAACTTTCCTCTAAGGACGCAACCCTGCCGGGAACCTTTTTCCCAAAGGCGGCGAGGGATCAAAGACGGCAATAGAACAACCCCTATTAGTCTCCCCCTCCGATTATTAACCCCCCCCCCCCCAATAATAACAGCAGATTTCCTATCATGATTTCTTTTTCGTGTTGGGTGGGGTCAGTTCTGGCATCTTCGTGTTGCTCGGTGCTTTATAAAAAAACCTTTCTCGGGCAGGCCGCAGACCCTGCAGTCCTACGTTCCCGCGGCCCCCGCTGGGTGCAGCTCTTGCAGTCAGCTACTCAAACCCATTCGTTTTAGTACACACACACACACTCGCTCTTGCAATCGTACCGCAAGGTTGCGGATGATGGGATAATCCCTAAAGGTAAACTCTGTGCGAGAGGGGGAGAGAGAGAGGGACAGAGAGAGCTTCGATACAGTTGTACTGTAGGGTTTTGGGCCCCTTTATAGCATATGTAGCCATAATAAGGAACCCTAAGGAATATTGTTGGTCATTATTTTTTAGGCTTCTATTTTAGGTCCCGATCCTTTAGCCTTAAAGATCCCTATGAACATGCTAATGTTGTCTTGGTCCTTCAAAATCTTCTTTGGGCGCATTCCGGCCCAACTCCCCAACCGGGATTACGCTCTCGCAACTCGGACAAGCCAGACGAGGTCTCGGGTGCGTAGTGCTTTGACTGGTCGGTTTTAGAGCTGATAATCAGCCCAACCGGGATTGGAGTTTTGTATCAGGAGGAGGAGGAGGAGGAGGAGAAGGAGATTGGTTCAATGCTATGTCTGCGTGCAGCCGAATGTCTGCCAGGACCCCTGGCACCCATACCTGGCAAGGCTCTTGGAGGTTCTGGGGCCTCAAGGGAGTATAGTCACTGCAGTCTGTAGGGCTGACGGGCTCAGGCTTTCAAAGTTCGGGGTTCGGCAGTCTCGGAGGCTGTCGAGGGGCACAGAGAGCTTTGGGTTGGCAGGCAGCTGATGTCATTTCAAAGGCCCAAATAAACCCTCAACACGTCCCATGGACGAATTAAAGTGCTTGCTTGGCTATCTCATCGTTCTTCACACTAGGGGCTCGGGGATTGAGGTGACAAAGTCTTGGAATCTATATAGCCGGGGCTTCACGCTGAAGGTTTCAAGGTTCACGGCTGAGGGGGATTATCAGTTATCAGCGGCATCCCTAGAGCACCAAAAATCCCTAAAGCCCTAAAACGGACAGACAAGTTTCAGGGCAAGGTCCGTCTCTGACTCAACTTTACTGGCTCGACACAAGAGGTCGTTCTTAGAGAGTGCAGCACAGCTACCAAGACTGCAGCCGTGCAACCGACCGCAATGAGATATCCGTATCTACACCCGCAAAGATGGATCTGCTGCAACTGGGTCTGAAAGCAGACAGATGGCCCCTGGCAATCTATTCTAGTTCCCCCTTGTGCAGGCACGGCGCCAGGAAGGTGTCAAACATGCCCAAAGGCTGCAGCAGCATTCTCCACCCATTGGCCTCGATGAGTGTAGCTAAGAGCTGCTTCGTGTCTTTCTTGGTGGGACGATTGTCGGCTTCGCCGAGAGTACAAGGCCCAAAACAGTACAAACACTGAAATGCAACGAACAGCAGCCTCTGATACATGCGGCTCTCCGCGGCTTCTCATTTCAGTTTCCTTGACCTCACCACTTCTTCAAAACTTGCCACGCAAGCCTTCAAGCGAACTATCCACTCCGCCAGGAAGAAGCCGGTGACGCCACTCTCCAGGAACCTAGTCTGAGGGTTGAAGAAGGCATGGTGAGCCTACGCCATAACTCCCGACATCACAAACTCAGAAAGCCTGCGCAAGGAGCCTGCTGTGGCGCGTTAGGAATCTGTCGAGATACTGACGGAACTGCGGGACGAAGACATCATCGATCTCCCAGGCGATGGCGAGAACACCTGAGGCAGGCAAGGAACGGCTCCAGGCTGTTTCAAGCCTCGGAATCTGAAACCTCAATTGCCTGAGACTCCAGTTTGCACCCAGGTTCCGCAAGCAAGCTGCTCAACCGAATCTCCAGTGCGGACCCGGGCACTGAGAAGAATTACCATGCCACAGCCCGTCTCAAAGAGGGCAGAAGCCACGAAAAGCTCCTCCGTTGTCAGTTCCATGCCGCCAAACCCATGGGTTTCTTTTGTCATGACATGGCATTCAGGGTGTGCTTGCTGCAAGGATTGCCACTGCATCTGGGAGACTGGCTGGTAATTGTCGAAATCCGAAGTCGTCCCGTAAGGTTCTGTCAAAAGATATGCAACCATCTTGCAAACAGAACGCCCATTGAAATTCCACAGAGCCGCCCTTGAACCATGATAGCAAAAGACAGTAGTAATCACAACACGCAGGATCGTCATAACAATGGTAAGGACGCCGATATGTATGAGAAGAACAATGAATCAATAACTCTAATGAGAATATGACTGACGAGACTATGTTTCGTCATCCACATTGCACGCATATGACACGATTACTAGTAGTAGTGATTGTTGTACTGATACAATTGTCACTATTGGGGGTTCACAGTATTCACAACGCAACAAACGTGCACATGGCAACAACCATGGTAATGATTTAATGTTAAGATCAATGCAGTAGGAAGTATAGTAGAAAGTGTCGAGGGAATCTCTGAAGTCTTGCCGCCGTCCTCTATCCGAGGTGGCTCCTCCAGATGTACGGAGTCCTGAGCATTCCTCAGGTTGGCCAGGAAGAGGACGCTTTTGAACGAAGTGTAGAGTTTATGATTCCGGGCCTTCCGACGCACGAAGATGCAGGTGCGGTCCAGACAAATATGTCTGTATAAATACGCACATAAACACAAGCATATACATACATACATGTGTATATATACACATCCTATTCTGTATACTATGTATATAATCGGTTCTGTGATTGGCGCTATTTGCTGCAGAGATGTCCACACGCAGAGGGAGCACCCCCCTTCCCCCTGCTCTGGACTGCGGGGCCCGTGGCTCTTCTATGCCGGAGGCTCGAGGGCAGGGCTCACAGGTTCAGGGTTATCTTACCTTTGGTTAGTAGGGAATGGAAGAATGGTAGTAATAGTAGTTATGGTTGCACCCTTTTCTTCCATTCCCTACTAGTTTCGTCGCGCACTTGCACACAAGGCAGGCATGGCTTCACGGTCTCACATCGGCTGAGCTTGCCACAGTGACATCCAGGGATGAGCATCGTTAGGGTCTTTTTTGATGCTCACACTCGGCAACACCAGGTAGAGTTTTGGAGTTAATTAAAGGTTGTTTTTACAGCAACGTGGCGAAGCTCGGTGGTTCGGGGCGAGAAAGGTGGTTGGGGGATCGGCAAAGGCCTGCAGACCAGCTTCAAAGCATTCACAGCGGAGGCTCGATCACGATCTCCTGCATTGGTCAGCTCGCGAAAGAAACCAACCCTCGAGCTGCCCAATGAGAAGTAATAATAACAATGGGGATAAGAATGACCAGAATATACCAGAATAGCAATCGTCACAAGAAGAAGCATAAGAAGAACAGCAACAAGGGTCAGAGTAGTCGCAACGGTAAACCGAACGTCGCAACAATCCTGTGGGCATGAGCTGTCGCACCTCCCTTCACTTGGAGCTTAGTCAATTCGGCTCGGATTCATATGACGCATCTGCTATGCATCACCTGAGAAACTGTGTCAACACTTTGCTTCGGGATGCCTGGTTTCGCCATGGTGGAAACGGCCGATGGCATCGGGCGGAGGCCCTTGGGTGCCGGCTCCTCTGCAGCCTCGCTTGCACCACTCGCTTCTGTAAGGCAGCTGTAGATGCGGGTGCAGATGAGAAGCAGAATGCTTAATTAACCACCAATGGCACTGCGGATGAGAACTGTCTGTTGGTCAAGGCTTAGAATCCTTAGAACTCAACCGCTTCTTCATGGCTCGGTTCATAGCTCACGTCGTGCCTCACGCTAGCAGTTCCGGCCGCTGCGAACAGCATCCCTAACCTCAGCAACCTTCTTCCTCTTTGTGACACGAACCCTGAAGCCTCAGCCGAAACCTTGAGGGCTAACAATACTAACAAAAGTACTAGTTTACTAGTGATAACAACAATAACAATAACAATAATTGTTATTGTTATTGTTGATAATAATAATAGTAATAATAGCAATAGTAATAGTAATACTGGCCCTGTCCCGCTGCCTGACCGATCGTTTCAGGCTCAGGCTGCAGTCCCTTGGATTCCGCAGGACACATCTCAAGGGTTGAAGCGAAGGCTTGCAAGAGTGGTGCCGTGGGCATCTCGAAGGCTATATGGGGGTTTCCGAAAATCAGCGTAACTTATTCTGGGATCCTGCCAATAAGGATCCTACTATTTAGGGTACTATACCAGGGTCCCCTATTTCGGGAACTCCAATATGGCTAAACCTACAATCAAACACCTTGCAAGTCTCCAGATCCTCGATGAGGAGTCGTCTCTAGTCAGGCCGTGGCTAGAGATCCCGCACACAACCATCAGACATGATAATATGCCTGTATGTTTCGGCAGAAGCTGTAACACAGTAGCTCTGTTTCGGCTCGTGGGTGCGCCAACCTCTCGAAAGTACCAGTGACTCTACCCTCGAACGGTCTTCGTTACTGGGGCTTCAATGATGCCAGTAGCCTTTCCAGCCTTCAGGATGGCGAAGGAAGCCCAAACTCCAACAACTATTGCAGCCACCGACCCGGGGGAATGCAGAGCTGGGTATGCCAATTGATGACAGCTCCAAAATTGCCAACATGTTCAGGTATAAGTTCTACAAGATGCACATGGGATTCATGCTAGGGCGCGGCATATCGGGATCTGTGCTTGGAATCCGAATATCTGCAGGCAGGCAACAACGAACTCCGTGGCCATCCCTGCTGTCAGCACCTGCAACACGCGAGTTTGCCCGTCGACAGTACCACAAAACCCTGAATGAGTTAAAAGTGACGAAAGCACAAAACGTGCAAGCAAGGCCTCATCACTGCAAGGATCCTCCTCAGGCGGCAACTGCTGCCAGGAGTCAGCTGTCGAGCCAGAAAAGCCCACAGATCTCGGTGCCGCGACGAATCTGCGAGTTTCGTGTTGCAGCTGCACCCAACTAGTCAGCTGCGCCATACGAGTAGGGTATGCACATTGTCGAGAGCGGCTAAGCATCGACGAATGATCGGGAACTACTTATTCCCTTCCTCGCTATATTGCAAACCTCTCCCCGACCCCCTCGAATGGCACCGGCGGTGCCGTCTGCAATGGGGTTTTTCGCTAAACACTAGGTGTGGGCTCGCCGGCCACAACACGGGTCGTGTAACTAGTCAATTGGTCACTAGTCACCGATGAATTTTCCATTGGGGCGGGCTGCGAAGCATATCTGCTCTCGTCTTTACTTTCGCCACGGATTCACAAGTGGTGTTTCTGAAGGACCAGAGGCTGAAAAGAACATACGCCTAGAAGACTTAGCGTATAGGGGCCCCCGAAAGGAAGGCATATGCAAAACGACTCCGGCGTGCCTTTCTTTCCGCGAGGCTTTAATCCAGAAATGCGGGGCGATAGGAAGGCATACGGTTTTGGTCCCCAAGACCCAAAACCTGAGCCCTGCGCCCGTGGCATCCGTTCACCAGCCGCATAACTTGAACATTGCTAGAGCCCAATCAAGACTTTTCGGAGTACCCAATGGAGGATGATAACTGTCACAAAGATCTCAGCTTCCAGCGTGCCGAAACCAAGGCAGTATGCTCCGCCCACAGCGAAGCAAAAAAGTGAGGTATCGAACGTCGTTCCCTCCCCGTGGTTGTTGATTTGTTGAAACACGGCCCCCGACAGCTTAATTCACCAAAACTAGTGCTTCGGGGGGATACCACCCCCAGCGGTGACGTAGGCCAAGCGGGGGTGATCTCCCAAAACCACCAAAGCATTACACCCAGAAACCCCCGAACCCTTACACACACTCCCCCCCAGCGCCCACGTATGCCTTCCTTTCGCTCCGGGATGAAGTTTCGGGGCTTCTTCTGGAAACAGACGAACCTGAACTATATAAACCCCAACATGCAATATCCTATATAAACTTGGCCTAAACCTCGTAAGAACAAAAACGCCCAGTGTTCACGGTTCCCAATACCCTAAACCACCAAAGCATTGCACCCAGAAGCCCCCGAACCCTCGCACACACTCCCCCGCCAACGCCCACGTATGCCTTCCTTTCGCTCCGGGATGAAGTTCCGGGGCTTCTTCTGGAAACAGACGAACCTGAACTATATAAACCCCAACATGCAATATCCTAAGCTTAGCCTAAACCTCGTAAGAGCAAAAACGCCCAGTGTTCACGGTTCCCAACACCCTAAACCACCAAAGCGTTACACCCAGAAACCCCCGAACCCTTACACACACTCCCCCCCAGCGCCCACGTATGCCTTCCTTTCGCTCCGGGATGAAGTTTCGGGGCTTCTTTTGGAAACAAAACTGATATAAACCCCCACGTGCAATATCCTAAACTTGGCCTAAACCGCGTAAGAACAAAAACGCCCAGTGTTCACGGTTCCCAATACCCTAAACCACCAAAGCATTGCACCCAGAAGCCCCCGAACCCTCGCACACACTCCCCCGCCAACGCCCACGTATGCCTTCCTTTCGCTCCGGGATGAAGTTTCGGGGCTTCTTCTGGAAACAAACAAACCTTAACTTACATAAACCCCGCGTGCAATATCCTAATTAAACTTGGCCCAAACCTCGTAAGAACCAAAACGCCCAGTGTTCAGTTCCCAATACCCTAAACCACCAAAGCGTTGCACCCAGAAACCCCCGAACCCTTGCACACACTCCCCCCCAACGCCCATGTATGCCTTCCTTTCGCTCCGGGATGAAGTTTCGGGGCTTCTTCTGGAGACAGACAAATCTTAACTTATATAAACCCCAATGTGCAATATCCTAAACTTGGCATAAACCTCGTAAGAACAAAAACGCCCAGTGTGCACGGTTCCCAACACCCTAAACCACGGGTGGGTCTGCATTTCGGGATTTAGGGTTTCTAGGTTCAGGGTGTGTAATTAGGTTGCTTAGGGGTGTCGGGTTTCTTCGGGTTGTGTGTGCAGTATTTCTGGATGCAGGGTTTCGGGTTTTTCAGGGTGTGGGGGTATCCAGTTTCTGGGTTCAGGGCTTTTGGGTTCGGGGTTTCTGCGTTCAGGGTTTAGGAGTATTAAGGCCTTGCTGTTCAAGGCTTCTGGGTTTGGGTGTTTTGGGTTTCTGGGGGGCTTCTAGCTGTAACGCTTTGGTGGTTTAGGGTATTGTGGGAACCGTGAACACTGGGCGTTTTGTTCTTACGAGGTTTAGGCCAAGTTTAGGATATTGCACGTGGGGGTTTATGTAAGTTAAGGTTTGGTTCCAGAAGAAGCCCCGAAACTTCATCCCGGAGCGAAAGGAAGGCATACGTGGGCGTTCGGGTTCGGGGGGGAGTGTGTGCGAGGGTTCGGGGGTTTCTGGGTGCAATGCTTTGGTGGTTTAGGGTATTGGGAACCGTGAACACTGGGCGTTTTGGTTCTTACGAGGTTTAGGCCAAGTTTAGGATATTGCACGCGGGGGTTTATGTAAGTTAAGGTTTGTTTGTTTCCAGAAGAAGCCCCGAAACTTCATCCCGGAGCGAAAGGAAGGCATACGTGGGCGTTGGCGGGGGAGTGTGTGCGAGGGTTCGGGGGCTTCTGGGTGCAATGCTTTGGTGGTTTAGGGTATTGGGAACCGTGAACACTGGGCATTTTTGTTCTTACGAGGTTTAGGCCAAGTTTAGGATATTGCACGTGGGGGTTTATATCAGTTTTGTTTCCAAAAGAAGCCCCGAAACTTCATCCCGGAGCGAAAGGAAGGCATACGTGGGCGTTGTGGGGGGTGTGTGTGCAAGGGTTCGGGGGTTTCTGGGTGAAACGGTTTAGGGTGTTGGGAACCGTGAACACTGGGCGTTTTTTGTTTTTACGAGGTTTAGGCCACGTTTAGGATATTGCATGTTGGGGTTTATTTATAAGTATGGTTTGTTTGTTTCCAGAAGAAGCCCCGAAATTTCATCCCGGAGCGAAAGGAAGGCGTATGACTTTTGGACCCTTTTGGTGCCAGCCTGAAGTTGGGACAAATTTTGGGGGCCCGAACACCCCCCAAAAGCCTTCCTATAGGTCACGTTCCATATGCTTTCTATTCGGGGCCCCCTATATGCCTTCGATCGTGGAAAAGGCTCATGGTTGGTTCCTCTTGGTCCTTGGGGCTTGCATGCACCGGAAGTGGCAGGCTCTGCAAGGCACATCTCTATACTATACTCTGCTTATGCCAGCTGTGGAAAACGGCACATCAGATGTCATGCAGCCTGGACGACTACGTCCAGGGAAGTTCTGCCTGCCAAGCGTCAACGCATGCTGAACTAATATTTAGAATAGGGTTTTGGGGCCCGCTATATCATAAATATCATAAGGAACCCCGCCCAACAAAATAGTATAGGTCATTATTTAGGCCCCTGTATTACGATATCCTGCCCAAATGCTACCAGTCCTGCGAAGAAGCTGCACATGTCATACCAAGCCCCAAGAAGCTTTTTGCCTGGTCGCTGTCGGTATCTGCTGCCAGCCTTTGGAAGTGGAGACACTGCAAAAGACAGTAGCCAAGGCCGGATAAGCCCAGAGTCCGAATTCCATGAACAACAGCATTACTGCATTTTCTGAATGCGTGCATCAAGCAAAAATA